GGGGGGAGGCGGGGGACCGAGACTAGACTGCAGAGGCGTTGTTTCTGGGTTACTATGGGGACCTTGTGAGAGGACCATCACCGAGAAGGACGAGGACAGGGAAACCTGTGTGGAGGCCATGGCCACGGGAGGCCATGGCCACGGGAGGCCTGGCCACGCCTGTCAGTGGCCCCCGTCCACCCAGCCCTTCGATGGCACTTTACTCAGAAACATGCACCCTCCTGCTCTTCCCCTCACAGCTCCTTATCCTGTGCCCACACTCCCAGCAGCACATGACTGCTGAGTGACGCGTGTTCTCCGACACAGATGGTACACAGCTAGGGAAATGATACACGCCCTCATCCCTCTCCCACGCACGCTGCCACTCCCGTGCCCCTCGAAGGAGAAGACGGTCTAAAGATCCTGTAGAGCCCTGACCGATTTGGCTCAGTGGATAGAGCATCGGCCTGCGGACACAAGGGCCCCAGGTTTGATTCCATTCAAGGGCATGTACCTTGGTTGCGGGCACATCCCCAGTAGGGGGTGTGCAGGAGGCAGCTATTCGATGTTTCTCTCTCATCGATGTTTCTAACTCTCTATCCCTCTCCCTTCCTCTCTGTAAAAATTCAGTAAAATATATATTTAAAGATCCCGTAGAAATACCTCCTCCCAGACCAGGAGGGGCTCTGAAACAGAGAGGTTTCTACTGGGAGCACTCAGTGGTATCAGGACGAAAAGACTTGTTTTAAGATGACACATGTCCCCTTCAGGTCAGCTTGTTGCGCGTCCTGTTCGGAGGAAGGCGCCTGGCGTTGGCCACGGATCGGCCCAGCCCACACTCCCCCTGCAGAGCCCTCCCAGGCCCGCAGGTGCACAGCCCCTGGCCGAGCTCCGGAGACTCGAGACCCCCAGGCTCACCTGGCGAAGTACGCACGAACGCCCGCTGAGCAAGTGAGCGCAGGAATGCAGGCGTCTGCCATGGCCTTCGCTTTCTCTGGGACGATGCCCACCCCGCTTTGGGCGGGGAGAGGGGGTGACAGATGCGGGCATGCAGGAGGCAGGCAGTGATCGTGCACAAATCTGTGAGGGGGCGGGCGGGCGAGCAAAAGCGCTTCAGTCACTGCACACGGGGTTCCTACTGGAGAGGATGAGTCTGAAGGAACTAGCAGCCGCCACCTGGGTTTTGGCATCTGGCCAGGTAGCGTTTGCTTCTCTCTCATCTCAGTCAAAAGCAGGTGGGTGTGTCCCAGCCAAAGTGCCTTTCTCACAGCGACCCCCACAACAGGGATGCTTTTCTAACGAAAATGCGTGTTTGTTTGGAAGAGGGCTACCGAACCAGGACTGGGAAGGGCCTTGGCTATCCCTGGACCCAGAAAGGGTAAGTGACTTACCTAAGGCCACACAGCGGACAGTATTGTCTAGACTAGGGCCACCACCGACCAGAATCTCCCCAGATACAATATGCCTATCTGTGGGGAGCGGCTACAGCGGTTGGACAGGTTCAAGCCTCAGACTAATGAGAGGGCAGGGTCCTACGTGGCAAAGCCACGTGCAAGTCCCAGCTTGGAGGCAAAGCCCTCCCAGCACAATTACAGCCAAAGGCTATAATGTAAGCTTGACCTTATGGTCCGAACCAGAGGTCCCAGGTGGCTGAGTGATATAGGCTGTGGGAGGTGCAGTAAGTGCTGCTAGAACAAAGCTTGATCGAGTTCAGGTGCACGTAATTGAGTAGATTCGAAACCCGCGAGAACATTGTCAACAGCCTTTACTTTGCCTCGTGGAATCTGGCTATAAAATAAAGACTCTGGCTTGCAGGCTGTGGCACTCTCTCCATCCGAGAGCAGCATCCCACCTGGTCCCAGCTTTATTCTCTTGTCTGTCTTCTTGAATCCTTCACCGCCCGCCCCCCCACCTCAGGTGAGCCCAGCACACCTATCATTGTGTCTGCTACCATGTTTTTAATATATTTTAGTGAGTTTTTACAGAGAGGAAGGGAGAGGGATAGAGAGTTAGAAACATCGATGAGAGAGAAACATCGATCAGCTGTCTCCTGCACACTCCCCACTGGGTATGTGCCCGCAACCAAGGTACATGCCCTTGACCGGAATCGAACCCGGGACCCTTGAGTCCGCAGGCCGATGCTCTATCCACTGAGCCAAACCGGTTAGGGCATACCATGTTTTTAAAGAGATCAGGCTCCCTACCCCTCAGGACTGCAGCTTTACCCTGTTCCTTTCTAATGCCCTGGAATCGGAACGCTCAGTACATAACTAAATGCACGTTTAAAGACCATGCATCAGTTAAGTGAGAAGACAGTGCCCACACATCAGGTCTGACAAGGGATTTCACCCTGGCCAGGGTGGCTCAGTTGGTTGGCGCATCCTCCCATGCACTGAAGGGTGGCGGGTCCAATTCCCTGTCAGGGCACATGCCCAGGTTGCAGGTTCAATCCCCAGTTAGGTGTGTACGAAACGCAACCAGACGATCTCTCACATCAATGTTTCTCTCTCCCTCTCCCTTCCTCCTCTGAAATCAGTAAGAACATATCATTGGGTAAGGATGTTTTTTAAAAGGAATTTTAATCCCTGATAGGATGTAAGTCATTTTATCCATGTTGATAGTATGTTGCTGTAAATTGAAACATAAATCCATAAAGACATATAATTACCACATAATGATCTCATGCATAATTGATGGTAAATAACAAGTATCATTGTGGAAATACACAATGTGCATTGAAAGGTCAGGTATCCCAAGTTACAGAGACTGATTTATTTCAAAGAATGAGGAAACTGAGTTACTCCTACACCTGATATCAGCCAAAGATCCGGTGCCCAGAAAATATCTTTTCTTTAATGTTTATAAAAACTAGTTGAGAAAAGCCCAGGCACCAACCAAGGTTTCCAAAAAAAAAACACCAACAACAAAAAAAAACTGAACAACCTGCGGTGTAGGCAGCTACAAATAGGACTCAACGGTGAGAACTAGTCCACGCAGAAGCATCCTAGCAAAATTCTCACCCCACACACCACACACACGCCTAACAGATGGCTTCTAACGAGCAGCTAAACATTCCATAGGCCAAATGCACAAAAATTAATGATGAAAGCATGACGCTGTATAAACCAGCAGACTCCTCTCTGCTCTCACCTCTCGCCTCACTCTGCCTCTGCGTCCCAAGCAAGTGCTCCCCACGCCACCGCCTGCCCCTCCAGGACCAAATCACAGCCACCCGGGAGCCAGGCGCCCGCTGCAGCCCCAGAAGCCTGACTGATAACATCCGGCTGGCGGTCCAGGACGTCCCAGGGTGCGTGTCCAGCCTCTGCCCACGGCTCGCAGGGAAAGGCCACCTCTAGCCTCACTCTGCCTCCGCGTCCCAAGCAAGTGCTCCCCACGCCACCGCCTGCCCCTCCAGGACCAAATCACAGCCACCCGGGAGCCAGGCGCCCGCTGCAGCCCCAGAAGCCTGACTGATAACATCCGGCTGGCGGTCCAGGACGTCCCAGGGTGCGTGTCCAGCCTCTGCCCACGGCTCGCAGGGAAAGGCCGGGGCAGAGCTAATCAACACCAGCTCCCCAGCTGTGACCTGGCACGGACGGAAATGAGGAGAATCAATCCCGGCCGTCAGGAGTCTCATTTAACTCTTGGAAGGAAGCAGCATCTGGGAAGGGCTCCAGGCTGCTGGGTGGGGATGTCAAAGCCAGGGACAGGGGGGCCTGGGTTCCTCCCCAGCTCAGCGAAGGCATTGTCTTCTCCTGGCAAGGGTTAACCTACCCCCAAAAAGGTGGGGGGGAGGGGGTTACCCACCAGCTCCTCCTCCTTCCACTTTGAAGAGAGGGGAAGCGGGCACCCCTTCCCAGAGGTGGGGCCCAGACAAACTATTGTCTCGCTAACAGCCACGGTCCAGATGGCAGCTCACGGAAACATCGGAAATGACTGTGCTCCACCGACGGTCCTCTCCCAGGACTCGGGAACCCCTATTCCTCGGCAAGTTGGAAAAAAAATACCACTCCCTGGGAAGGCTTCCCAGATTTGTTTAAATTACAGGCAAAGGGATTTAGCACCGGCACACATACCTCCACATCTTCTAAATCACTAGGTCTGTCCCCAATTTAAAAGAAAAAGTGTGCCCGGCCCTCGGCAGGAGGGGGCATTAGGAGTGATAAATCCATAACGCTTTCTCCCGGGGAAGCCTCCGGGCCGGGCTCATCGCCCGGGGCCGCTGCAGGCTCCTGGGAGAGCCTGGCTCGCCGATCGTTACAATCTTACGGGGAGTAACTGCCAAGGGGCGACCCCGCTGAAATCCAGCCACAGAAACGGGAACTGTGCCGGGCCCGCCACGGGAGGAGGGCAAGGCAGGGAGACGCCGGCGTCCATCCGTCAGCACTGATGTCCTTTGTTGTTCACCTTTGCACGGAACCGCGCGCGATCCCCGGCTCCGTGCCCAACGAGCGCCCGTCCTCAAAACGGGACCCCGGCTCCCGAGAGCCAGGCTTCCCGAGCCGG